TACATAAGTGAAAGTCCAAATGATTTCAATTGACATTAGTCGTAATGAGCAAAAAGTTTACATTGCGCTCGACTTATGTCGATCGGTGAACTAGAAACATAAGACTAATGCATTGCCGCATTGTACATAAGGGCAATGTTGGGTTGGGATCCACAGAACAGAAGCTCTAAATGTGCTAATCAGAAAACTTCCAACTACGTTGTAAACATTACACAAACGATTAAACCGAATTCCCGGGTCCTTTTGCAGATAAACCTCTAGTAAATTCTGTACACCAGAATTCACTTTTGACGATTAACCCCTTTTTTCCGCTCTAATAGAGGGAATAGTAAGAGTAATTACTTTGATTTCCCTGACACAAGCTAGTCGACATTAATGGTTTGGAGCCCTGGTATAAGGGTTGAAAAAAAGAGAAAAAATTAAAGTTTAACTCGTTTTATTGGAGAACTGTAAAACTTTTTTGAAAAAAAATAACACTGGAAACACGTCGAAAAAGTTCGGTATTAAACCACAAACAAACCCAGTACCACACACGCAACTTCCTAGCGACCGCTCTCGACAAGGTCTTATTGCGTCGGAGTGTTGTGACTACTAAGTGCACTGGGACACAATTGCTGCGGGTGAAGAAGGACCGCAGCGACCCTCGATTTCTCTCGCTTTCAAGAGTCGCGGACGACCTTCCCCGGAGGTCCTTAACAGAATTCATTCAAGGCGTGGTAAAGAGAAACCAGTGACGTGTGAGTTCGTGAGATTTGGCGGAATGTATTCTCGTTGTGTCTGGAATACATTTCTCCTCTGTCTTTAGCTCCGACCCGCATCCTACCGCTCTATCACTCTCGGACTACGCCGCTCTCTCTTGAGTCTCGAGAGAAGGAGTGTCTCTGTCTTCCAGAAGGGAGTCGTCGTCTACCCGGTCGACGACGACTGAGACCTCGAAAACACCAGCCGTTACACGTACCCTGCAGGTTTGGTGTCTTGTAGAAACACAGAGGTAAAACCGAGACACATTTATGGTGTGACCTCTTCGACAGTGAATTTAGGTCAAGAAAATTTAACACTACAAAAAGTCACAATACATTATATTACGTTCAGTGTTTCTCAGACCCTTACAACGTGAAAGACCTCCGAGCAACCAACGCTAGACGACGCTCCTCACCTGTCCAAAGGCGAGGAGGTCGTCTAGCGTCGTTGCTCGGAGAAGTTGCAGGGGCTGGTTAGTCTCGTGTGACCCGAGTGTCTCACCCCCCCCCCCCTTCTCGAGGTTGTTCGGTAAATTCCTGGTCTCACTTATGTGTATGAAATGTCTCTTACGACATACTTTTGGTTACCCACTCCAACCTTTTACGTGTTATATTTAATAAGATGCATCTGGAGTTGTACCTTAATACCTAGCGCATTTTACCGGTACTGTACCCTGGATAATTACATCCCGTCTATTGTAGTATGCTTTGGATGTCTTTTCTTGGGTCCAACAAAAAAAATTTTTTTATCTGACATAAATCTCGTAATAGATGACTTGACTTTTTTGACACTGCAGACTCGTCCTGAATTGCAAGGGACATTCCCGTCTTGCAAGGTGTGTCACCAACCCAAAAGGAACCTACTCGATTACGAATGATCGTGACGGAGACCGACAATTTCCTTCGTACACGTTACTGTAATACCGTTTTATGCCTATACATTTCGACACCGTTAGGAAGGTGTAGTTCCATTATTCTCTACTGTGCCACATAACTATCTCACTACTTTGGATTACTTATTGGAATTATTGGTGGAAAGATTTCCTCACAACATTTAATATTCATTACTAAAGGTACAGCCGAATCATCACAGCGCACAAAACCGCGCAGATGGACCAAAAAGGGGAGCGTTTGAAAAAAATGTGCGGGTCCGCTTAGTGAAACAATAACAACGTAACACGTAACATGGGGCAACAAAAGTCTAGCGTTTAAATCGTGTGTGTGTGTGTGTGTGTGTGTGTGTGTGTGTGTGTGTGTGTGTGTGGCTAAAAGTTTAACACATCAGCCACACCGCTCTTTAGCCTTTCTAAGGATTCTGAAGGTAAACACAGTGAAAGGCACTGCGCGCTCCTCTTCTCAGAGGCTGAGTTAACCCTCCCGCTGCCTCCTGGTGCTGCAGAGATTTCATGAAGTGAAGGAGGTTTTCCTTCTATAAAACAGCTGTGGGCAGCAGATACTGTGAGAGTCACAGACATGAATTCATAGATCAAGGCAGACTGTTGCACACACTCTCCTGTTTTGCCAATCCGGTGCTTAAACAAATATAGCTCTACACCCCTGGCCGAAATGTCCTTAAAATGAAGTCCGAGTTCGACATTTTAATTCATTTCCTGCCAACACTGGCAGGACAGAAGGCGACACGCCCGTTTTAAGCCGTGTCCCTCACTCCTCACATCCCAAGCAGCATCCCCAAAAAGTTTATTATGTTGTTGCATCGTTTCAGATGTTATGTTTCAGTTGTGCTCTTGATAAGCCATTAAAACAGTAAAAACACGTTCAGTTTCCTTTTGCTTTTTGTGTCTCCTGTAAACCAAAACATACAGTCTGTGATGGAAAAAGAAAGTAATCCAAAAGTAATCTGATTACGTTTTTAAGACACGTAACTGTAACTGTATTCGGATTACTTTCAGAGCCATGTATTCAGTAATCAGTAACTGATTACATTTACAAAGTAACCCTCCCAACCCTGAAGACATCTACAGTTTATGTAGTGTCCAGTTATGGATGAATAAAAGATTAAAACTCCCTTTGCAATTTCCACATTGCAGACATTGATAACATTGCCAGTTATACCTTGTACATTCCCATATCAGCCCGTATCTTACCCTCCAGTTCCAGTCTGTAGAGCATGGAAGAGGCATCGACAGCTTCCAACATGGATCCTGTGGCTTTACAACGTCTGAATACCTAATACAGGAAAAACCTTCACTATGCAGCACAGCTTGAACACTGACAGATGTAACATGGAACTGCCTCCACACAAGGAACACCATTTTAAACAAACATGTTCAGGACTTGCTCGATTCCCCTGATACATGTGGTTAAACATTCATTACATTCAGCAAATGATGTAACAAGGGCAGATATGTTGAAACTTATGGCAGTGGCAAGTAACATTAAGAAATTGTATTGTATAGGTACAGGCCAGGACAGTAATGGCTATACTTAAAAACTGTCTTTCCTATTTTTAGAGTGAAGGAAAAAATAATCAGCTTTGGCAGTTGACACTGAAGTGCATTTTCACATGGATTTGACTTCAATTTGTACCCACTTGCCTTCTTGACACAGAACAACACAACAACATATTGCTTTTAGTCTGCATCCCCTGTGTGTTGGAACATGCATGGCTCTTGAAAGGCTAAGTGTGCATGTACTCAGATATACTATTAAGGTTCTGATGAAAGTTGTCAACACAGACCAACCTGAGAATCGAATATCTCCAGAGCGGCTTCGTATTGCCCCTGTAGAGGAGGAAGAGGTGAGGAAGAAGAATTTGAATAACTCCAGACTTAAAAGATAGGCAGTGTTGATAGATTGTGTTGCACAGATGCAAACACAAATTAATCTTGCAATATAATCAACTCCAGACTTCAAATTACCCAGGGAAAGGATATCATAAATACAAGTTCCACAAACACTCCTGACAACTATTCGCTTGACTGAGAAAACTCATTATACTCTTTACCTTCTCGATGAAGCATAGAGCCCAGTGCCAGTAGTTATGACTGGCCAGCACGTCAGATACCTGGAATACAACATTGAAATATTTTGTATTTGTGGACTCAGCAACCTTGTACAGTGTGTCAGTTATCAAACGAATCAGAAAAACACACCGCTAAGGAAAAGAGAAAAGTTGTACCTGCCAGTCTTTCTCTCTGCTCTCCATGAACTTCAAGCCTTTGTCCACCTGTGCTGTCATCTCGTAAACGTGGGCTACAGAGTGAACCGACCAGGCGTCACCTGGAGCCATCGCCAGGCCCTGCACAACACACAATAACAGTCAGTAAAGGAGAGAAGTACAGATGCAGAACACAATGTGGTATTGTTTTAGTCCTCAGCAAAATGACAATGCTCAAGTTTCCATTACTATCTTACTTTGGTTTGTGATGTTCCTCAATGTATTTTTTAAGTGACCTTCATGTCACAACTAATTTGTATGCATTAAGCATTGAGCTCAGAGAGTGGGGCGGCTATGGGCCGGATAAGCTGCCGAATTGAAGTGACACCGCCAGCGCAGAAGCAGACAGCCTGCACCACCCAGCTGCTATGACAACAGCACGTTCAAAATAACTGATAGGGGGAAGACAATCTCACCTCCATGGCCACTTTCTCTGCCTGGTCATAGAGGCGACATTCCATGAGACCAAACGAATACATTCCATTCAGATAGCTGAGGGTACACACACACACACACACACACACACACACACACACACACACACACACACACACACACACACACACAAATCTTTCATAAAAAAAAAATGCAGGACAGATAACTTTTACTCTTCAGGTAGGATGATGAAAAGCAGAGACTGTTTTTGTAACCAACCAGTGAGCAATAACAAAGACCCCTACGGGCAGGGGGGGCGGGTAATTAAGGCTAGAGAAGGGTAAGCCTTCCCTATCTTATTGATCCCTATACTTTTGTGCACTCCAATGTTTCCTTAACGTCTCAAATACAGCTACAATATATTATGTTCAGCAACCCCAAATATCAACCTTGTAGAATGAAGCTATGGTTTTTACAGTCGTTTAATACATTGAATTATCACATTAAGGCATAAGAACGTAGCACCATCGGAGCATAACAATGTTTTGAATTCTGTCAGAACGAGCAGAGGGAGAGTCGTAGGAACAGCTCGAGCACCATGGCATGTGCGGTGCGCTCACCTAACGCTGCTCAAAACAAACAGCGCTGGTTAGGAAACTTGTCTTTGTCTCATGAGCTGCGTCTATACAGTGCTGTCAGTCAGTGTCGGCTCACAGCAACAGGATATAGAAAATCCACAGATAGGGACATTCATTTGGTGACCATTACGTACATTGTTGTTTGTTTGCGCTTTTTGTATTAAACTTTGTGTAATAATTTGGGTTTTACTTGGTATGACTCATCCATTTACTTCGACCACCTGTTGCTAAAAGGAAAGGTGTGGAAGTGAACAATAATTTACTCGCCTGAAGTGGTCACCCATAAAGGACATCCATGATTGCAGGGTGCAACAGACTCTACTTAAAACACTCTATTTTCTCAGTTAGAAGCACTTTACTTACAAGTGCCGGCAAACCTGCCCCCCCACTGCACTAAGGAGAACACAAGTGTCGGAGGATCATTGTTAAAACTGCTTACTTTAATGTCCCATCAATTTAGTTTTGTACCTTTCTTTTTCATGATGCAAATTATTATTGTGACTTAAAAATGTCATGTAGTTCTATTTAGACCTTTGTGAGAAGTATCAGGTTTATAGACAGACAATGTGAATATCGTTCTCGGTTTCCATAGAATTTGCATTATTTAATCATTCTGTATGCCACATTAAAGATTCAAAAAGACATTCATTATATTTACGCATATTCCAGTTATTGCATATAATATAAACTCAATCTTTTCAAGACACTTAGCATAACACATTGCACATGATTATAATGAGCGTGTGTGCAGCTGGTCAGATTATATGAGAGATAAGAATAAAGTGCCTTAAAGACTATCGAGGCCTATTTACCCCATTTGTATTTGTAATGCAAGTAAGCACCTGTGTACGGTATAATCGTATAACCATCAAAAACGATCAAAGTCTTATGTATTGTATATAATTGACCCTGTGTTTGAAGTCCCCCTTCACGCCCATTACATATCTAAACTAATATGATTTGGTTAATGAGTTTTCATATGATTAAAGCTCATCCTAAATGCTTCTCGTAATGTGTGCTGTCTCCTGTACCTGAACAAAGGCATGTGAGGTTTCCAGTAGGGCAGCACCCGGGCCACAGAGTCCCTGAGCTGGAGCTGGGCCCCCATGTAGAAGTAAGCATCCTGAACAAACTTTAGAGCCAGCATGTCAGTGGGGTGATCGATCAGAATGTCTTCCCATAGTTCGCAGGCCTTCGGAAAATTACTACAAAAAACATGAGTCACTGTTAAAGAAAACTGAACAATGAAGGACAAAAGAATGAGTGTACCATGAGAATAATGAAGACGTCAATATGCTTTGTACCGGACGTTGGGAATTAGAGGCAATAGAAAAACACAAAGACCCTCTGTGACAATATTGAGAAACAGAATTTTCACTCAACCTTGCAATATATTACGCCGTACCATTGGGAAATAAGGCGTACTTGTTAGATACACTGTGACTGAAATGTACAAATGGTTCTTTGGCACATAATATTGAAGATGAGTGCTGTGGATCTGAAGCGAGCGTCTGCATCACAGGGGGACAGAAAGAAAGGAACCTGGAGATGCGTGAATAATGGCTGAAAAAATTAAACATTCTTATGGTCCTCTGATGTCTGAAGGGAATTCATTCCTTCACAGGCAACCCGTTTCTTCCTTCGTGATGATAAACAAAACTCATCTCTTCTTTATTTGGACTGAATATTAACTGACTGTATTGTAGCCCTTACTTCAAAACATGTTACATTAAATCAGGGGAAATGTCTCTCTTTTGGTCAGATTGTTAAATTGACATTTTTTTGGTAAAAGGGATGAGAATCCAACTCAATAGGTGAGATTTTTTTCGAAACAATAACCTTGCTTGAAGATATTTGTTTTAAAATATTTCGTTGGATTAAAATACAACTCATTTTTCAAACAAAAAAAGTAACACTGCTGAAAACTGCTCACTGTAGAAATGTTGTTTTTGATACTACTGTGCATAGGATAAATGTTTTATTTTTAAATTATGATTTTAAGATATTTATAGTTTTGATTAGTATTTTAAGTGAAGACTAATTTATTTATTAATTCCTATATGATACACCAATCAAAGTTTGGACACCTTATACCATTATGTGTATGCATTATTCCTCAGACTAATTTTTCAAATTGTGAATTCATGTTGTAAAAAGGAGGTTAAACGCATCGACAGACGACAGACAGCAATGCATGTTGGGATCCCATATTACACTTCAAAGACCACTCATGACCCTTCAGACCCTTTTCTGTAACCACTGCTTTGATCAAATTGTTATTCATCTCTCTGTTTTGAATACATTTCCTGTGGCAAGCTGGCTCTGGATCTTACCCATGTGAAAAGAGCTCCATTGCCTTGACATGGAGCCTCTCTCTGGGAGAGATCTCCTGGCTGTTGGCCAGCTCCACTGTTCGCCTCACAGCGCTGGCCAGACTCTCATCCAGGCGGGCCGAGCTGGATGTTGAGACCAGATTCAGCCCCGTACTGATCACACGGCCCATGACTACAGGGAAAACAGATAACACTGGTCTTTTCTTTTCGACTTTCTCAGAGGAACTTAAGTGTTCTGAAGAAAAACATACCCTTGTAACAATTTTCATTTGTTATACATACTGTAGCCAGATATCTAAAAGTGACACCTTTAAAGAGGCCCTATTATGCTCATTTTCAGGTTCATATTTGTATTTTGTGCCTCTACTTTGACATGTTTCCATGTTTTAATGTTCAAAAAGCGTTTTATTTTTCTCATACTGTCTGTGCTGCAGCACCTCTTTTCACCCTCTGACTGAACAGAGCCAAGTTTGCTCTGATTGGTTAGCTGGTAGGCCCTGTTGTGATTGGTCAATTGCTTAGACGTGGCCCGCCCTTAAGCCTATCACGATGTGATGGAGATTGAGCCATTAGGAGCGAGAGTGTTACATGATGGTGTCATTATCACAGAAGTGAACAAAGGAGTCGGGGCGTTTCATGTACTGTAGAGGGGGATTGTGTGGGAGAGAAGCTCCCTCTGGAGGGACCTTTGGCATTCTCTCTGATAGCCATATTATGTAACAATGACAATGGCAAACAGATATGTGGAATATTATTATAATTAAATATATATATTTGATTGAAAAACAGACAGAATATATGTTTTCTGCATCTCAATTATGGGATTTTTTCTGGCTCTGTTTTATTTTTATATTAAACTGAATATAATTTTCCACTATTTTCTGAGAGACTTTGGGCTAAACAATTCCTCTAAAAAAGAATTGGCAGATGTTTTCATTACTAAAATAACCTTATTCATTGCAGCCCTATTAAATGTTGTTTTGTTTTTTTAATCTAAAGACAACTGTATTCTGTTAATATATTCAGATCTGTGGACTATGATTCATGTAAACAACGCAATTCATCTTAAACCTAATAACCTCAATTTGCTTGTTATGTTCAATACATTTGAAGGGTATGATCCTGTATTTTCAGCAATTGTCAAAAGCAGCTTGCAAGTTCTCAAGAGCATTAATTAATATTGAACCCGCACAACAACAGCTTGACTCATTTGCATGAACATATCACCTAAAACACTTGATGGAGATAAACAGCAGCTTCTCCTACACCGAAGACACACTGGGCCCAATTCTATTCAGCCTCTATGTAAATGACTTGCCATCAGTGTGCACTGGATGTGAGGTGCAAAAGTATGCTAATGACACTGTCATTTATGTCTATGCAAAAACCAAGGCCCAAGCTGCCGCCAAACTAAGTGAGGCACTGGTACATGTACATCAATGGCTTACTGACTCACAGCTATATGTAAACGTTAAGAAGACAGTCTGTATGTTTTTTAGCAAGACCAACACTGTATCACACCGTGAACCCAAGGCCTATGTGTCTGGGGAGGTCATTCAAACATTTTAAATATCTAGACACTATCCTTGACACTACTCTATCCTTCAAAAAACAAGTGAGAAAGGAAATGCAAATAACTAGCAAACTTTTAGATATATAAGGAACTGTTTGACAACACCTGTAGCAAAACTCTATATGACAACTCTACATTCCCTACCTAACATACTGTATGACCAGCTGGATCCAGGTGAATAGCACAACATTAAGGCCTATCCTATCACTTCACAAACAAGCTTTCAAAGTTTTGGACAGAAAACCTAAGCTATACCACCATTGCAAAATCCTGTTCAAACATAACCTGCTCAGCTGGGAACATCTTTTAAAAAACACACTGATGCATGTCTCATTTTTAAGATTATAAACGGCAAGGCACCCCCACCACTCAACAAAACAGCAGAACCACAAGGTCTGCCAGTTCCTTTGGTAAACAGTATTTCTCTGTGAGGGCATCAACACTTTGGAACACAATACCAATACAGATAAGGAATAACACCTCCTATCATACATTTAACCACTATCATAAGAACTGGCTTTTAAGCAACACAAAATGTGAACACTTTTAACTGTATCATAGTTAGGGTTGCAAAGGGGCGGAACATTTCCATGGGAAGTTAAGCTGGGGAATTTTGGAAATATTCGATGCAAAATTAAACAAAGAAACATAACATTTCAACATTTTTTTTAAAAGTAGAACAGAACAAGTTTTAATTATTTTATTGAACAATTATTTGTTTCATTGAAGAACGAAAACAGGAATGTTGAGTTAAATGTTACTCATCCACCCCAACCCCACTCATTAAAAAATGAGCAAAAATGCACCTCCCATCCAAAAATCCCCTCAAAGTCCCATTCAAAATGTTAAATAAAGAGCCCTTCTCCCTCAAAAAAGTTCCATTAAACATGCAAATCTTCCTTCAAGCAATCCTCTGCATTTTTCCTAAACCCTTTCAGTCAATGGGCTCTTCCTGGGCCTCATCAACATCCAACTCTGAGTCTTCCTCTTCAGTGTCACTGTCCAGCCTTGTTGAGGATGGCTCTGTGTCAGGCTCAAAGAGCCTTAGGTTTTCCCGAACGCCAACCAGTTTTTCCACTCTCACATTTGTGAGCCTGTTGCGAACTTTTGTGCGGTATCAATAGCCATGCAGTAAGCAGTGTGCTATGGCATGGATATTCAAGTGTACTTGAATGTCATCTGTTTGTTTTAGTCAAGATTATGCTAAAATATACTTTCCCCAACTATGTTTAAGTTCCCTATGAAGAGCCAACCTTCAATTTTGAAAATTCCCAGTTTATTCCCATAAATTCCCGTTTATTCCTGTGGAAAGTTTCCATCTTTGAAAATTCCCGGAATTTTGCAACCCTAATCATAGTATGATAGTATTTAATCTGTTTGCATGTTTGTCTGTTCCTATTTATTGTTGTACCGACTGTTGTTGCCTGTTGCTGTGTGTATTTTTTTTCTGAAAATCAGCCTGCTGGCTAACACTGGCACGTTTACAGCAATGTTGATCAATGTGCACCGTACCTTTAAATAAATAAACAAACAAACAACAAAAAAAACAAACACAATTGTTTCATATGACAGACAGGTACTGAAGTTCAATGCTTTTGCTAATTAAATGACAGCATGTGTAATTGTTAAATATCCGAGGCTACATCATATCAGAAAGGCATAGCAGACAAAGTGCAGGTGCAACTAATAACAATAACGATGCCTTACTTCCATGTATTGTCCTGTCATTCCATTGCAGTCGTTA